GGACTCGCCGTGGCCTCAGGACTCGCCGTGGCCTCAGGACTTGCTGTGGCCTCAAAAGCTCTCCCTCCTGTGCTCACTGATGTGGGCTCAGGCTCCAGACAGCATCAGTGTTGGGTTCACCTGCTCAAAGGCAGCCAAGGCTGAGCTCAGCATGAGCCAGGGGCTTTCCGTGTACGAGAGCAACACAAAGTGTCCCTGTGCTCTGTCTGCAGTAATAAAGCAAGTTTACCCTCTTGAATAAAGGCCAGTTGAAAAGCAGAAAGGCAGGTAAGCTGCGGGACAGCCAAAGGAAACGGGCCGCCTGGATTCCGTGGCCTCGGATCCTTGCTGCGTCCAGACATTTTACAGGTTGCTTCTAGCCCGAGACCCTTGGGCTGGAAATTCAAGTGGAACTCGTCACCATTCTTGCCTGCTGTAGTTCTCTGACCCTGTGACAGCACCAGGCTACAGTCCCATCAGGAGCGAGAATTCAGCGACAGAAGAAGGCAGTCTGGTCAGCCCTGCCACAGACCCTGGAAAAGCCACTGCCCTCTCTGTTGCCACAGAGAGCAAGCTGAATTTTCTTCTAAAGTACTTTTTGAATAGTTACATAGATTTTAGTGAGTAAAATAAAATTAACTCTCCTGTTCTGTGAAATACTAGTCTACTTATGCAAATATGAAAATAAATACACTAAAATTGATAAAAAGAAACCCCTTAACTGGAGCCGTTAGAAGTCCAAGTCCACATTCCTGTGAAATGCCAGGAGATGCCATCCGTGCGTGCCAGGCAGCCTGCTTGTGGCTCCTGCAGAGAAGCCCGTGCCTGCTGCGGGTCACCTGCTCAGCAGGCGGACACCCGCACAGTCCTCCTGCCTCCGCCTCCCGCAGTGCTGGGGTCCAGGCCAAGGTCACCACTGGGATGCAGAGCAGCACAAAGACCTTGGGTTTGATCCCCAGCCCTGCACAGCGCACGCTGCCCCTAACGTCTCAGGACTCCATGGGCCGTGGGGAGAGGGTGGGCCGCGTGAGGCTGAAGGTGGGGAGGCCGCGAGAAGGGCTCCTGGGTCAAGGCAAGTGAGCGCCTGGCCTGCCCAGGGGCTGGGGGGTGGCCGGGGCTGCAGACCAGACAGAGCAGGGGGGAGGGCTGCCACACCAGCTCCCAACAGGGCGACTCAAAAGAAGATGGGAAACGCCTGCGGCCGAAGCCTGCGCGGGGCTGTTCTCCCAGCACTGGTATGCAGCTGGCCACACCTGAAACCTGAGCCTGGACACTCACCTAGCCTGCAGTTACTACTTTCAGTAAGGGTCTGTTCCAGTCACCAAAAGGCTTCTCCCGTGTCTCAGAACCATGCACACTGGCAGGGGGACAGCGGCTCTGACACACGGCTATTCTTAAGTAGCCATTCTGTACCTGTATACTCAAAATAGTTAGGATGGATACACACCTACTTTGTCTTAATTCAATGAGAAGATTCGTACTAATAGTGTTTGGACAGGCTATCCTGTCTGCATCTTGTACTATGAATAACCACTGTGAAGACAGCAATACACAATGTATTAATTATTGAAACTGTCTTACTAATTGATTTTGAAACTGTCTCATTGCTGTTTCTCAATAAGATTATTGAAAAAGTAACCCAAGTTATTTTTTGTGACCATGAATTAAGTCCAGCTATTAATTTTGAAGAAAATATAAATAATTAAAAATGCACATGGCTTTCCAGAGCCTAGATTTCAAACAAATCATGATTTTTAGATATATGTGAGTACCTGTGAGTATGGAGAAGAGAGACGAAAGGGAGAGAGAGGGAGGGAACAAGGGAGAGAGGGACAGAAGGAGAGAGGGAGGAAGGGGAGGGGGAGGGGAGGGGGAGGGAGGGGGAACAAGAGAGGGGGAGGGGGGAGGGAGGTGCCTGGCACCAGGGATGGGCAGCATTCACTGTTCTGTAGCCACTGAATTATCTTCTCCACCCAAAGGGAGGGGGAATAAGAGGGGGAGGGAAGGGAGGTGTCGAGGGAGGGAGGGGGAGCAAGGGGGAGGGGGACTGTCCCACCTTTACGCGTGTGTTGTGAAGCACACGCACAGATGCACGTACGCAAACCAACTGAAGCCAAGTGTCAGCTACTGCGGCTCACACTTACCAAACACTTCAGAAACGCTGGCCCGTTAGTGCTCTTCTCCCAGCTCTGTTACATCAGGTGATTTTACTGAGTCAGAGCCAACAGTCTATCCTGTCAGGTACAGGTACGAGCCCACTGCTTCTCTGATACCTCAGCAGGTGGTTTGTTCTCAAACCCCAGATTTTCTGGTGCTGAGGTCACTGGGAAGTGAACGCCTACTGCCTCCCCCTCAGAATGCAGGTGGTTACAGGGGCACAGCCGCTGCCTGGCACCAGGGATGGGCGGCATTCACTGTTCTGTAGCCACCGAATTATCTTCTTCTCCACCCAAATCACTTTGCTTTTACATCTGAGACCAGGAAAATGATGTTAGGTTACATGGGAGACTGGGGGACGTGTAAGCCACAAGGCTTCCCAATGTTCAGAGGCCACCAAGATGGCAATGGCTCCAGAGGACAAGCCCACAGCCTGGGCTGTCCAGCAGGAGGGAAGCTCCTCCCGGCTTATGTCTGCTCCAGTCCCCTCAACGCAGCTGCATTTGTTTGCAAAAATAACGGAAAATAACCTGAGGGCGAGTGGTCTGGAGTTGGGGTCCTCAGCCTGCTCAGGACCCCTGCCCGTGAAGGAGTGGCAGGGCGCGGGCCACAGAGCCCTGGACGCTGCCTTGCTACATGCTGTGAGTGATCTGAGAAGCCAGGGCTGGCCCGAGTCTTCTCAGGACTGCGGTCCCGCTTCTTATTCACACCCTGAAGAGTCTGTGCCCAGCTTTCAGAGCCCTTAACGTGTGCAGGACTCAGTGGTGAAATGGGAGACACAGGGGGAGGGGTGTTCTTTTTGCTTTTTTGAAAGATTCATTCATTCATTCACTTTGTGTGGAGGACTGTAACTGCTAACCAAACAAATCCTGCCTTCAAGACCCTTGTTACACACAGCGCAGGACAGAAGATTGGACACAGCATACATAAGCAGGCCATGTGCAAAGTGACAGGGACACAGCTAGTGAAAGCAGAGCGGCAGGAGGCTGGGCGACCACAGTGCATGCTTCTGGCCATTTTGGGGTGCTCCTGCCGGGACCCCAAGGCAAGTGCCAGACTGAGGGAGGGCAGAGGGGAGAGGGGTCCACTGGGGGGGGAACCTGGGGGCAGGAGAATGCTACAGCTCCGGAGCAGGAAGACAGCGGATGTGTGCTGGCAGGAGAGGACCAAGGCCCAGATCACTGCAGGCTCCCTTAGAGTTTGCCTTTCTGCAGGAAGGGGACAGAGGAGAGAAGACTGAGGAGGAAGAGCGCAGCTGACAGCGGAGCACAGAGCAGCAGAGGACACCAGTGTGACCACACTAATCCCGGGAGGCCTGGCCTGGGCAGGTGGAGGGCGGGCAGCAGAAGGGTGGGCTGGGGGAAGAGCCGGGGGAGCAGCTGGATGTGGTCGGAATGCAATGAGCTGCAGGACTAGGCCTGCTTCTGCCTCCCTCAGCCAGGCAGGGAGCCTCAGCAGTGGCCTCAGGTGGCAGCCACCTCCCCGCCTCCTTCAGATTCTACTGCAGGAGAAGAGAAGCTCCGGTGCTGCGGCCTGCAGTGAGTACGACATTAGCCCTGCCGCAGGGACACACACTACCTCGCTCAACACCGGCACTGCCAAACAGCGCAGTGCACTTTCCAGTCAGGGTCCTGAAGCAGCTCGAGCTAGGCGCTTTTGGGTGCGTGGTTTGCCTCTCGGGTCAGCAGTGTTGGTGACAGTCCTATTACTGTTGGGACTCATGCTTGGTTCTCTATTTGGTTTTAAGTAGACAGGTTTTATATTTTATCCTTAGAAATATGAATGCTCTTAAAATGTCCGTTATACTGGGCTTTGAGTTTAGGTCATTTTGTGGAAGCTTTAAAATATCAGTTAACAAAGCAGGTGTTAGGAGGAAATTCAGGGAACGCTAAGCAGTTCTCGGGGCACTTACGCACTCCTACTGTGCGAAGAAAGGCAGGTATAGCACCGTGACTTAAACTTGTCCAGCACCAGGACATTTCCCTAACACTTGGGCAAGGACGCTAGCTTTGAAAACAAACTGCACTCTTCAGTTTTGCTTAATTAATGATGCTTTGCTCGAAATCCTGACTTAAAAAAGCAACTCCTGGTCTTTGGACTGTGACTAGCACCCTGCCGATTTGATCTAAGCACAAAGCGAGTGCAGGTCAGCCCAGACTTAGCCTCTGTGGCCGCAGTGCAGTCCAGGTGGAGCTTCCTGGTAAGATTTTACCACTGTAAACACAGCTAAGGACACAGCTGTAAGAGCAGGAAGGAAGTTTGCGTGTCTGATGTTCAGGGAACTGGAGGTATAGATGGGGCAATGCTTCGCAGGTCGTTACCTAAGGCAGAGAAAATCGCTGCAGCCCAGAACATTTCTCCCATGAGTGCCGGGATGAACAGGAGGCCGCCCATGCGCTTCCCGTAGATCTGCTGAAATGGGTCCAGCATGGTCACATAGCCCTTGGAGCGCATAGGCTTGGCAAAAAACAGACCACCTGGAAGAAACAAACACGTGAAGATTGACGCGCACCGTGTAACAATCTCTGCCCACTTCTCCCGATGTCATCATTTCTCCTGGGAAATGATTTCTTTCTTTCCATTTCCTTTCCCTTTCCCTTTCCCTTCTCCTTCCCTCCTTCCTTCCTTTTTTTTTTTTTTTTTTTTTTTTCTTCTCGCTCCCTCCTTCCTTCCTCCCTCCCTTTTTTTTTGGCAGAACCAGGGATTGATCTCAGGCTCTTGCGCTTGCCAGGGAAGTGCTTATTCCACTGAGCCATCTCCCCGGCCCCACCCCTCCTTCCTTTGATACAGGGTCTTGCTATGCAGATCAGACTCACAGTGACCCTCCTGTCTCAGCCTCACCAATGCTGGGATTATAGGCGTGTACCACCATGCCCAGTTTCTGTGGCCAGCATGGTGCCCAGCATGGCATGTGGTACCAGGGATTGAACCTGGGTCCCTGGCCTTGCCAGGCAGGCCCTTAGACCACCAAGCTATCTGCTCAGCCCGGGAATTGAATTCCTAAGAATATCTATCCAAATGGAGGAGTCAATCTGTAATGTACTGCAGCTACAGCACCAAGAAAAAATAGCACAACCTACTATCAATTCCTTAGTGCATTTACTATTGCATTTGTCTGGTGGGTAATTAGGCAGCTTAATCACTGCTGGCGAACCTACGACATGCGGCCTGTTCATGTCACTGAAAGCTCTAGGTTTCCACTGCCAGCGTAAGCGAATCACCTGTATTGGAAGCAGTGGAGAGGGCTGGTGCTTACCAAGAGGCACGGAGCAAGGGCCAGGACGATAGCACAGTGGTTTAAGCGACTGCCTGGCAAGCGCAAAGACCCATGTTCGATCCCTGGTACCAGCCCCCGGAGCTTGGGGAGGCTGAGACAGGAGGCTCACGACGAGTCCAAGAGGCCCTGAGCACAGCACTGGGACAGTCTGACTAAGTACTACACCCAACACAAGTGCTTGGAGTGAAAAGGGAAGAGTTCTCTGTTAAAGGCTTACATAATATTTTTCACAGTTAGTTTGCCTTACAAAAAGAAACTCAGGTATAAGCAGGTTGGTTCATTTCAATAATATACCCACCCTCGTTTTGGAAGGAATAGAGCACCATTATGTAGAAGGTTGCTGCTCTGCGGGTCACGGGATCGCACGACGTTCTACATATTCCACAGCCAGGAGACGGAAGCGCTCCGCTGAGCACCAGCTCCTGGCACCAGTCGCTTAGGAGTTTGGGAGACATTTCTGAACAACAGGTACTGACACGGTTCAGCTTGTGACGGCCACTCCCGCCCACCCCGTTGCAGGGAGCGAGGCACTGAGGACGAACTTCCACTTACCTACAACCAGACTAAGCGCATATCCGATGGGCGCCTGGGCCCATGCAAGGCCGTGGTCCGGCACGTATACTGCCTCTGCTGTTCCGTTGATGTACCCGCCTCCAACCCAGGTGGCTGCAATAGAGGGGGGGAGGGGAGCCGCTGTCTTATCAGTCACTCCAGGACCCCGCTTCCCGGCACAGTGGCCACTGGCCTCGTGTGGCCAGGAGCTCCTGTAGGGTGGCTGTCCAGGCCCGGGGCACTCATGGGGGCTCCAGGAAGAGACGGGAGCAGCCAAACAAAGGCAGCGGGAGAACTGGAGGGAGCACGTGTGCACGAGAGAATCTGGGGCCACAAGGGCAGACACCCTGGAGTGAGTGAGAGGGTGACGGGTCACAATGCAGACGTTCAAATGAAATGAAATGAAAACGTTCGAATGAATTAAGTAAGTTATATTATTTACCTCAATTTAATTATTTCTCCTTATGTTTCTGAAAGGCTTTTGTAGAGAATTTAACACCTTCTAGCAGTGTCTGCTAGAACATGCTGCCCCGTGTTGTTCAAACGTGTCCAGCCACCAGCTTCTCTTTGTGGAGAAGCTATGGAGAGCATGCGCTGTGAGACCCCAGGGGGCAGACTTCTACAGCCCTCTCCACCACGAGGCAGGGCTAGCGCCTGCAGTTCAAGGCCCTTCTGTCTGCAGGGCACTGACAGTCTTATGCAGATCCCAACTAAAAGTGTGTACAAGTTTGTGCCCACGTGTGTGTGTGCGCGTGTGGTTTTCATTAGTATCTTCTCCTGCTCTGACAACACTGGCTATGGCAAGTCTGACCATGACCACAGTGGGCTGTACTGAGGGTGAAGGGGGGGAGACAGGCCCCACTCCCACGTGTCCGTGGCGCATTCCAGTGACCTCTGTCCTCTCGCTCTGCCCGGGCCACACTCGGGCTGCGGCCAGCACTCAGGACAACGCAGTGCGGATGGCACAACCCTCGCAGTCCCTCAATCTGGGTTTTTCATGTAGTGTTCAGTATTTCACAGGCAATACTAAGAAATACATGTTTTTTAGATACATAAAACTTGGCATAAATGTATTTAGCTACACAAACTATAGCATACTAGCTAGAAGGGAGATCAAGAAATCCGAGAGAGTACGTCCAGGCCACTGTTTCTGCTCAGAAAGCAACCTAAGATTGGACACGTGCTGGAAACCTAGATAAACGGAGCACTGAAAATATGCACAGAATATATGTGGTCTTTTCAGAATATAGTGCAATACTAAAAATGACATCAACATAGAATTTAAGTAAAGGTCTGATGGTCAGAGGCTGGAAAGAGGCTTACCAGACGTGAGACTGGATTCTGAGCAGTATGATCCCGCTGAGAATACAGCTCAGGCCGCAGAGCCCTCTAAAATCTCACAGAGCATAAAGCAAAGACAGTGTGTGTAGAGCTCGTCCAATCCAAGGTGATCATTTTGTGATGATCAAGCTAGAATATATCGAGCTTCAGAATCCAGGAGGAAGCCAAGAAGAGGCTGTGTTGCGAGGTTAACATCACTTATTAAATGTTTGACTTGAAAAGTTCTCTGCACAGTGATTTTAAGCCATTTAAATGTGCGCTTCTACGCTGACCCCTGAAGTGGACGCGTACGCGAGCAGCAGAGCTGGCCCTCGTGATGGGCCCTCACACGGGGTGCTAACATGGAGGGGACCTGGCCTTCTCCTTGTCTCAGCCCTGCTGGGTTGAGCGCCCTTCCCGCCCTAGGCATCCTGGGCATGAGCGCAGGAGGCGCGGCCCTGCAGGAGCAGCAGGGCCAGCCGGGCACCCTGGGCGTGAGCGCAGGAGGTGCGGCCCTGCAGGAGCAGCAGGGCCAGCCGGGCACCCTGGGCGTGAGCGCAGGAAGCGCGGCCCGCAGGAGCAGCAGGGCCAGCCGGGCACCCTGGGCGTGAGCGCAGGAAGCGCGGCCCGCAAGAGCAGCAGGGCTAGCCAGGCACCCTGGGCATAAGCGCAGGAAGCGCGGCCCGCAAGAGCAGCAGGGTTAGCTGGGGCTCGGCTGGGCGGGGCTGCCACCTGCTCAGGGCTAGCTGGATGGTGGCGCGTCTGCAGCAGCGCTCTGGAGGCGCACCCTTCACTGCACACTGTCTGTCCCTAGTCTAGAAGGAGCGCTGGCGCCTGGAGGGTCGTGCCGTTGTACCTCACATGCGAGGCTGGCTCCTCATTGTGATTGAACAAAGAGCTGCAGCTGGCCTTGCTGGGTCCTTTCTGTGCTGCGTCGGCCCTCTCGTCTGAGTTTTGCACCAAATCGCGGGTGAGGACACAAACTGAAATCCTGTGCATTCCAAAGGGATACACATTGTTCATCCCTAGTCCTTCTAAAATCTAGACAAGCAAATTTACCTAATAAAGCTTAAATAGTATGAGTCAGACTTAAAATGCATGAATGCTTTGACTGAAGTTCTTAAGAATTTTGAAAAAGAAAAAGCTTTCAAGTGTGCTAGACACTTAATCAGAAACAGCTTCCAAATATTTTCTATGTACTTTAAGAATATATTTTGGTTGAAAAAATCCTCCTATATGATAAAAGGACAAATTCCCAAACATTATTATTCTATTAAGTAGAATCTTAAGCTAGAGCAATAGAATGTTATAATAATTTGCAAAGAGTAAAGCACTTTGATAGGCAGCAGCCCACAAGCAAAGCATCCCCTAAACAAGCCTACAGAGGCCAGGCCGTGCTGCTGGGAGCCCTGAGTCCACATGGCTCCGGCCCCTTCTAACCTCGTGGCTCTGCACGTGACCCCAGAGCCCTGTCTCGGCATGCCACACTAGTCTCTGTGCGGTCAGCGAGGCATCCAACAAACTGTGCCTGCCTGAAAGGTGCGCTCCACTCCAGTCCCCACCCCAGTGCAGACGGCGGTGGCCAGCAGGCTTTCTGGAACGCAGATGCTGTCTTCCTGCCCTGGTTTGGTGAATATTTTGAAGCACAGGGTAAATCACCCGTGAATGGCACCTCCGAGGTGAAACACAACTTGGCCTGCATACGGTTTGCAGTGGGATGCTTTCCTAACGGTCCACTCAATGTGGACTGTATTGCTAATGTCTAAGTACCTACTAGGACCAGACAGAAAGGTGGTACTCATACATGTAACAAATCGTATGAAAGATGTTGTTTTTCTTAAGCATTTCCAGTGGCCAAGACAAATATAACACCACCCATCCTCACAGCCCCTCGCAGAGTGGAAGAAAGCAGCCTGCCCCTCAACAGTGAGGGGTGGTCAGGGAGGAGCCCCACAGTGGCATGCCCTGCCTTTCTCCTTCCTGCAAGGTGCAAGGTTAGTACAAACCGTGCTTTAGCACTGTGGAGGGGCTTCCGGTAAGGAAAGCAGTTATCAAGTGGGAAAATCACTTTGGAATAGGGAATCCATCCATCTGGAACTGCATCGTCCCTGAATACAGTGATGTGGGACAAATCATCACCAGCTGGTGGCCGCCAGAGAGCTCAGGATGCACCTGGGAGGGCACCCGGCGGGGAAGGGCCAGGCCTGTGCCCCCCTCCACCCTGTTCTTCTGTTCCCACCTGGGGGGCAGCCTGCCCTTTCCTCCCCGAAATCTGGCCCAATGACTATCAGACCATGTTGTTCAAGTACTACCCAAGGAAAACATTTTCTTTCTGCAGCTATATGGAAACTTATCAAAAGGGAACCTGAAGAATTCCTCGGGACAAGGAGCAAGGCCTGCCAGGCTCGGAGAAGCAGGGCGGGGACCCACCTGTCATGGTGAAGCCACCCACCAGCAGCCCGATGTCGCGGCCGCCCACGATGATGGCCTCGCTGCGCTCCTCGGTGCTGCCGCTGTTCTTGGTCCTCCAGGCAGCCCAAATGCCCACCAGCAGGATGAGCAGGTAGAACAGGACGATGGCGACCAGCCCCTCCACGTGGAAAGCCATGGTGGCCGGGCCTGAGGCCACGGGCTACTTCATCCAGACCAGCTCGGAAGGCGGCAGCCCCGGCCGGCCGGCCAGAGAGGCGACGCTGCGCTCTGCTCCGGAGAAGAGGTGGCCTGCGTGCTCCTCTGCGCAGCAACCCAAAGGCCCCCTGCGCTTTGGAGAAACAGACAGGTGGGGAGCTGCTTAAATGAATCACGATCCTTTCTCCGCTAATAAAATTTCCATTTAAAGTTAACCTTGTATCTCAACCAGTAATTCTGTCCTCGAACGTTAGTTACACTGAACAGGTTGTGCTGCCTCTTGAAACTACGTTCCCACGCCCGGGCCAGGCAGGGACGCGTTTTAAAGGGGTCCTCCAGCGCCCGGCTGGTCAACGATTCGGGCGTCGGTTGCACAAGTGACCTGCTGCGGCAGGAAAGAAAACTTGCGGGAGACCCGTCTGCGCAGCCCGGGCTACCTGTTTCCAGGAGTCCCCGCGCTGGCGACGGTGGCCGCCGAGGGGCGGCGCTGAGGGGCCGAGGGGTGGGTTTTGGGGCTCCCCGGGGGGCCGGCTGCGCAGCAGCCCGCTCCGGGGGCTGGGGCGCGGGGTGGGGGGCTGAGTCCGGACCGAGAGGCAGGCGGGGCTCTGCGGCCTCGCCCTCGGAGCCCGCGCTCTTCCGCCCTGCTCCTCTCACGGCCGCGGCCACCGCGCGCACCCGATCCGCTCAGGGAAGTTGGGGAAACTCGGACGCGCGGCGCAGGTGGGTACGGAGCCCGCGCGGGACCGGCCGGGATCCCAGAACGCCCAGCCCCCGCGCCCCAGCCGCCTCCGCGTCCTGGGCGCCGCTCCTACCTGCCGGTTGCGGGTTGCGCGG